ATTTCACAGATAGGTTTGTTTTGGTTTTAAGCCTAATGATGGCTTCCTTTACTTTTATCAGTATTTATTTGGATCTCATATTGAGAATTTCAAAGGAAAAACTACAAAATGCAACACTTGAGATTATCTCCTATCTCTTATCTGCTTAATTTGTCACAAAATAATGAGAAAACAGGCCTCACTTGGCCATGAAATTGGTTGTTAGTCAATTGTCCTGTTACTTTTGAACCTCTGAAAGTGGGGGATCGTTTAAAAACAGATGCAATTTGTAAACAGCTAATTTAATACTTTAGTTAAACCCCTTGAATTAAAGGTGAAAACCTTCAGCACTTCAGTTGCATGAAAAAAGACTGCAGTGGTGTATAGAAGCAAAATTATTTAAAATGTGACTGTCCAAAACCTTCTGGACCTAACTGTATATAGAGTACATTTACATTATTGATACCGTATATCAAATAAACTGAGGCTTTTGTTGTTTGTTTTTTTTGAGAATTTAGCTATACCATATAAAAGGGGTGCACAGAACCTGATTGTGCATTAAAGGTCTGGCATCATACAGAGCTTACTAAATAAAAACCTTAAATAAAATGCTTTATTTTACAAGTAATCTTTAAAAATCAACCAGGAACCATTACAAGAACATTTTATATGCTGGAAGCATTCCTGCAGCAGTGTGTAGTAGTAAATCGGTCCTAGCATGCCGTGAGCATTATTGTCTCGTCCAAAGAAGATTACTAGTTTAGTCAGACTACCAGTTCAAACTAGAAAATCTGGATTTGGAAATTGAAATGTCACTCTAGTAATCCTTTAAGAACTACAGTCAAGTGAGCTACTCTCATCTTACTTTACTTTTATTCTTTAGCCTCACCTGTCCATATAGTTGGAAGTTTCCACCCTCAGATGGCCCAACCCTCCAAAGTGCTGAATTTATTCCCTAGACCATCAGGGACTGAAGGCTTAGTCCTCGGTCACACGGGTAGCAAGACACCAAGGGTTATCAAGCCAGTATCGGGTAAGAAACTCCCTTCATAATATTAATTCAAATGAATTTGTTCATTTATTTAAGGTCCATTGCATATTATTTTTATTTTTTGTATATTCCAGATGTTAGTAGAAAGATGTCTCTGCCTTTGAATGGCTTTCATCAGGACAGTGAGATGGACCAACTTTCTTCTAGCCCAGAGCAGACTGACAGACTAGAAGGCACTGTGGAAGACTGGCCTGACTGGAGTGACCCTGATAGTGAGAATAGAGATGGGCATTCGGTCCAGATCCACATACAGGCCTCAAAGGGCGTAGATCCAGTTAGCAGCCTGGCAATCACACATCAGAACACAGATGAGGAGCCGTGGGATGACTTTGAGGACACTGAACCTACCTCTGATCTCTCCCCCACAGCTCCTTTATCAGACTCAGTCATCCCTGCACCACCCAAAGGGGGCGCTGCTTCCCCATCTTCGAAACATGGTCCTGAACCACTGAGACTGGGTTCCTCTAAACCCCTTAAGTTGAGCTCAACACTGCGGCAGTCAACAAAGACAGAGGCCACTTCCTTATGGGACAATAGCTGGGCTCAAGAGAAAAGGAACTCTCAGAAATCACATAACCGCTTAAACCCCCAGTCCAAACCTACAGTGCCACAAAAAAGTAGTTCAGTAGGTCTGGGGGAGGAGTTTACTATAAGGGTGAAGACAAAGGTACAGCAAGACCCAGAGCTGGATTTGTTTGCAGACATGGTGCCGGACATCAAGTTGTCATCTCCAGCAGTGCTGTCACTACAAGAGACTGGCAAGCGTGAAGCAGAACTGTCCACAGCATCTTCTGATAACACTAAACCTCTGCAGGTCGATTCATCCATCGATACTTTAACATTCACTGCCAAGTTTGCAGCAGTTGACCTGACTGAGGTGAGTGTCTGGTGAAAAGATGTTTTATATACTTTAATATATTGGTTCTCAGTCACAGCTGCCTAGCTGCCTGGGATTACCCTGATTTCTGAAATCTTGATTATGTTATACTTAATGCTGGTAAAATAAGTATTGAACATGTCACCAGTTTCCTAAGTAAATATATTTCTAAAGGTGCTGTTAAGATGAAATTCTCACCAGATGTCAATGACAACCCGTCCAGTCCACACACGCAAAGAAATCAAACCATAGATCTCCGTAAAATAATGAGACAGGGAAAAAGTATTGCTGATATGAAGAAAAGAAGGCACACAACAGGGTGCTCCCCACACGATTTCAGACAGCGGACTGAAAATAATTATCAGTAGAGTTTTCCAAGAGCCAAGGACCGCTTGTGTAGAGCTACAGAAAAACATGGAATTAGCAGATACCACTCAGTATCACCCCAAAACGTGTTATAGGCGCGCCGGTCCATCATGTTCATTTCTCACTTTGCCTCTCCAAACAATGAAATGGACACGTGTGCAGAAGTTGCATTACCAGCAGGGGGATATAATATATTTAAAGTTACAAAGTTGGTAATGAGCAAAAAAATGTATTAGTACATTCAAGGTCCTTAATTGTCAGAATCAATTAAGATAGGCGCCTGTGTAAGTATATGCAAATGTGTTAATGTCTGTTTAAACACTTTCCCGTGGTTATTTCCATGCTGGCTTGAAATAAAATATCTCCCTCTGCTTTTACTGCAGAAGCTTCAATTTGTACATGCGTGTACATTTCACGTTTTGGAGAGCAAAGCGTGAAATGGCCAGTGTGTCTATTACATGCTTTGCCCTGATATCGGATTGCGGGAACAATTGTTTATAAGTATTGTACTCGACCACCGTGGACTGTATGCACACTCACCACGCCATAATCTCATTTCTGAAGAAAAAGCATGTTGAAGCAAATTTAAAGTTTGCTGAACAACATTTAGACAAGCCTGGGAAACAATAGGAGAATATATTCTGGCCATGTTTGGAAGACAAAAGGTGTTGCATATCATGCCAAAAGTGAAGTTTGGAGATGGGAGCGTCATGGTGTGGGGCTGTTTTTTAGCATTCAGCATGGGCAGCTTTGTGTAACTGAAGGAAGTATGAATGGGGAAAATGCACTGAGATAAAAACCTGCTGCCATCTGCCAGGATGATGAAGATGAAATGAGGGTGTCCAGCAAGACAATGATCCCAAAGACTGTCAAGGAAACTCAACTGGTTTCAGAGAAAGAAAATAAAGCTGCTAGAATGTCCCAGCCAGTCACCTGATGTGAATCCCCTTGAAAATCTATGGAAATGATGCTGTTTTTGTGCTTTCTATTCCCTTGCCATCTGTTATGTCATATGTAGCACCAGGGTCTCGGAGGAATGTTGCCTCGTTTCACTCTGTACTGTACGACTGTCCATGGTTAAAATGACAATAAAAGCGACTTGACTTAAAAGAACTAAAGCTCAGAGTTCATAGAAGGGGCCTAAAGAACCTGGAAGAATGTTTGTGTGGAAGAATGGACCAAAATCACGTGCGAAGTATTCAATACTTCCCTGTCATTTCTCAGTATGGATTGGATGAGTTGTTATCGATAACTGGTGAGAATTTCATGTCAGTAGCACCTTCAGAAATATTTAGTTAGAAAATTGGCGACGTATTCAACACTTATTTTACCCGCTGTATGTGAAGCACCATCTGTGTACAATCAGTTATAAGGTATGACTCTGTTTCTTCATTTCACTGTTTTTGAAGGCCTTGTTGGTTTGTAGAACTTTTAGAAATGCAGACTGTAACAAGCCTGAAAACACAGGCTCGTTAGGCTTGGGGTGGCTGTGGCTCAGGTGGTAGAGCAGATCAGCTACTGCCTGGAAGGGTTGGTGGTTCAATCCTTCCCCAGTCTGCATGCCAAGTATCCTTGGGCAAGATACTAACCCCAAGTTGCTCTCCGATGCGTCCATCGGAGTGTGAATGTGTGCGAATGCTTAGATTGCACTTAAGAAGGAAGTGCTTGTCTGAGTGGGGGTGAATGAGGCATGTTGTATACAGCGCTTTGAGTACTCTGGGAGAGTAGATAAGCGCTGTATAAGAATCCATCCATTTACAACTAGATGTTTTGTTTTTTCCACTAACAAATTTTACTTTGAATTATCTAGTGATGGTAGGTTCCAACATGACTTGAAATTCTTTTGGCAGTTACACTTCTGTGTATAACTTTGGAAATTACTGCAACCTGTAACCATTTAACACAGCTGCCATGATTTTGAAGAACCTACAAGCCAGAAGACACAGAAGAGATACAAATGCATGTCTAACTTTAAAAATACTGACGGCCACAAGTGTTACCTCTCAGCTTGCAAGTTGATGCACATACAGTATAAAATTCAAAATCCAAGGTGATTTTCAGAAAAACTGACCTCTGACCTTGAATTTAAGGTAACTGAGATTAACTTTTTTCAAGATTTTTAGTAGATGCACCTACTGTATGAATTTGAAAATCCTGTCCCCTCATTCTCATTCACAAACATGGGTGCCCATGCCACCTGCCCACTGTGGGGACAGTAGCCCATTAGCCTTTAACAGCTGAGGGGTAAAAAGTGACCGTCAATGACAATCAATGAGAATTAAGAATTTCCCACTATTGTAAATATTTTTCCCAGTGGATGATTGCACCTTTTCCTTTGCTTCTTTTCTCTCAAAGACTGAACCAGATGGCTGGGGAGATGAAGATGACCTGAACTGGGAGGATAACGCCTGGTGATTACGTTTGATCCATTACTTCCATCTGCAGTAAAAGACTTGACCACTGGAAAACTGAAACCCATGCACCACATCTGGAGTGCCAACAGACCAGTAAACTGGAAGTAGTTTCTCATTTAACATGATGCAGTAGGGATGGTAATGCCAGGGATGGGCTAAGGCTTTTTATGTTATGTTGATTTTGTCATTTTTAATAATGAGAACTTTCTTTTAAACTGGAACAATCAGCTCTTCATCAGATGGTGCTAGACTTGGACAAAATAAGCCATTTATAATTTGCCAATCAGAGGTGAATGTAATCCTGTTTCATCTGCTCTACTCCCTTTTTTTTTTTTTTTTTTTATGGGTTATTTTCACTAGTGGCATAAAGAAACGTTTCGGAGATACTGGGTCTTCCCAAAAAGAGTCAGTTTGATTAACTGAAGGCTTGCACTTTGAATGAATGTGAAATCAGAATTGCATAATTTATTAGTAGCTTTTGGGTTGATGGTGAAATAAAGTAAAACTTACTGTATCAAATGTGTTTACTGTTGTTTTACAGTACAATATTTCATACACAGGAAAGACGATCGACGCTATATCTAAAAGAAATGAAATGCTTCAAGTTTCAGAAACAGGTTTAATAAAAAAAAAGAACAAATATTAACATTTTTTTAAAAAGAGAGAGAAACCATTTTCAATAGCAGCAAAAGTTGTGGGGACTTTGTGGGTTTTCCATACAGAAAGTTTTTCATCTCAGGGTGTTTTCTATCTTGAGCTGCTGGGTCTGACTGTAGTGATGTGGGTTAGGAGAGTCTGGAGCTCCTGTAGTCTGGAGTCCAGCCACTGTGGAGGTGGTGCACTACTGTTAGTTTTACCATCAGTGAGAGCCTGAAGGGCTTTTAAAGCACTCTCAGCTGTCTGGATATAGCGGCTGTATTCCTGCTCTGCGCTGTTCTCCTGTCGAGCTCTCTTAGGGCATGGCTGAGAGGGATGAATAGTTAAAGAAAAAGATAAAGGTCTTGTTAATTAAACTGTTATTTATATAACATGATTCATGTTCTATAGTACTTCATAGGACACAGTTTGAACCTGGAGCAAAATCTTGTGATGAAAATATCAAAAACACAAATCTTACCCACTACCATATTTATGAATATCTGACAAAGCTGACTTCCAATCAAACAGTCACATTGAAGTTGGATGCGTTCACTCAAATCTTTTACTGCTAAACAAAGTATTTGGTTTTTTATGCTTAGCAAAATAAAAGTGATTCTGATCATCTCTGACATCTAATAAAATATGAGAATCCAGGCTGCTTTTGTGCAATGTGCACTGGTAGCTTTAAATTAATATAAGCCAGCTACTACTAATATGAAACGTGTATGTGAGACAAGACTGTGCATGAACATGCATATTCAGAAACACTGAATACATTTCAAGTTGATTAAACTAACCTCTGAGTCTGGAACAACTTCAGAAGGTGGTTTGCTGAAAGGCTTTTCTTTGCTACACTCCAGCTTCTCATTGTGTTGCTTGATGTGTTGTGTCTCATGTTTGAGCCTCTCCAGCCGTAACTCATTGCCTTCCTGCGCATTCACCGTCTGCAGCAAAAGAAATGACGACTTCACCATGCTTCGTTTTTATATACATGTTCATGAACAAATAATAGATTTCCCTTACCTTGCTAAGATAATTAACCACTTTGGTTTTGGTTTCTTCGACACTCAAACTCTGAGAGATTACTTCTTCGTAGTTTGTATTCTTTGACGTCAGAAGGATATATCAAGGTTACGTTTAAGCTTCAACAGTGTATGAATTTAATGTAATATGAAAATTATGTTAGACTTATAAATTAATACCTCTGCAAATTGAGAAAAGGCCTCCAGGGTGTGCTGGTGCAACAGCCAGGACTCGTCAGCCAAAAGGACTCCAAACAGGCCACTCAGCCTCGGAAGAATTTGACTCTGGAACCAAAACGGATCATAACTGAGAAAATGCTTAATTTGTTTCTATTATTTTTATTTTAAGAAAATAAAAATGGTTATTATCATTTGCTTCTTATCACGAACTTTCCTTTATACAACAAAATGTGTGTATCTATCTATCTTGCAGGCTCACAGCTTTAGGAGCAACTATAAGCAACAACAGTAGGCTAAAGAAGACAATAGAAAGACAAGTAAACCAAAATTAAAATCATCATTTGTAAAAAGTCTTTTATCACCTGGCTGTCAGGAGGGACAAAAATCTTCCCCAGAGAGCAGAGAAACTCCAAAGCAGCCAGCAGGAACCAATCTGCACACTTCTGAGAAACCACAGCATCCAGACACACCAGAGCCTGGGATAACACACACACAGAGACACACACATCAATAAATTTATTCTGCCCTCTTTAAATGTTAACGTGACGGCCAACAACGCACCTGACAAATCACGTGAGGTTCAATGTGCTTCACTAAAATGGCCGACAGTGACAAGAGAAGCTGCAGCGTCCACTGGAGCACAGGGTGGGTCTGCAACTACAGCATGGCGGGTTACAGTTTACTGGTCTTGCATCTTCTCATTTACTCCACCTGTTTGTGCGTGTACTGTTTGCTACCTGGTCTGGACTCATTCGTAACCAGAGCTGTGTGACCATCCTCACAGAAGACAACACACACGGCTCTTCGGGAGAGGACTGGCCTCGAACCACCGATAGGAGAGACATCAGCACTGCATTCTGGTAACAGGAGGAACTTTGTAAATTCACACAAGATTATGTTTTCATGGACTGATCAGTAATAAAAACAACCATTAACCATTCTGAGTTAATCTCAGCTGCGTAACTATTACTCACTGGAAGCTCTGAGTTCATAGGCCAACAATGGAAAGGTCACTAACAGTCTATTGCAGGAAAAAGGTTATCACAGTCCAAACATCATTTATTGCTGATATTTATAATCAAGCTGCCATCGTCACAGCACAAGTACAAACGAGGCTGCAGCCTTAATGTTTGTACATCAAATAACTCTGTCTTTGTTGCATGCAAGGCTATAATAATAAGGATGAATGAGTGCAAGTTTATTTTTGACTTTTGTTTTGTCCTTTGCACAAACAATAAAAGGCCTTCACTTGATAAAACCATGCTAAAAAGATTCAGCGATGGGGTGTAAGACTCCCATTACATCCCACTGCTAAGGTTGTCCTTACCACTTTGTCGACTTGTCCCAGTTTGTATCCTCCATTCTGCCAGTCAGCCAGCACTTTTTGAGTTAAACCAGTGATTTCTGTCACTACTTGCCGGCAGATGTCCTGAGAAAGAGCTCTGAGGAGAACATGGTGCCAAACTTGAAGGTTTTCCATCTCAGAGGGTGGAAAATGTGACACCAGTTCCATCTGTGAAAATAAATACATAAGATTATGGGAGAAGACATTATTTATTAAGATTATTTTTTTATTCATTGAAGTTGTTTCTATTGATTTCTTAAGCATCATCTAAACCCAGAAAATGGCACTCTACTCCAAATTACATGAAAGGTACAAGGATTCACTTGTACACAGGGACTACATCTTAATTCGACTGAATGTGGGACTTCAATTACAAACTCATATGTGAGAATGTTGCTCATCACTCCGGTAACGCATCAGTGCTGCTCTGCTGTCCAGCATTTTACATGTTTGTCTTTGCCTCTAATTGGCCCCAATAAGAAAAAACACCAGCTTTTCAACCATTTTAATGTTTAAATATGAATCCATGTATTTCATTATTTGTAAATTAAGCAAAAGCCTTTGTGTGATTTACTTTAATACAGTGTGGGCTGACTCTCTAGCATAATTCATATTTCCCTGAAATCTTTCCCCACTGCTCCTGGGGATTCTAACCTGATGGTTCGGCGTCATAAGAAAAACCATGCGTTTTAACAGCGTGCCCAGATGTGATGACTGGTAACAATCGGTGGCACATGCTTTCACCTGAAAGAGAAGAAGGGGAGCAGCAGGGAGGGGTGATGAACAGCTGAGTGAAAGCACCAAAACAAACAGGTAAGAGAAAGGTTAGCCTGTGACGTCCAGCTTAATCTGACAATCTGCCTGTTTAAACTGAGACATTATTTTTTGAGGAGTGATGCATGAGACAAAGACTGAGAGGGGCTGTCGGGCCATAGTTAAAGTATTTTAGAGACTCTCCAAACTAATGAAGGCAAGATTCAGATGTAGGATTACACTCCTAATCTTGTGTGTTCTTTTCCTTTACCGCAACTGCATTTAGATCTGTGCACTACTGAAAGTGACACATGAATTATTATGATTGAATTAATTAATAATTGTTATTATTATCAGCTCCAATCTATTTCATTAGTTTCAAAATGTTGTGAAGTACTGTCTACTGTGACGTCTCACTTTCAAATCAATATGTTTGTGCGTTGTGCATTTTGCCGGTCTCTACGTACCAGTTGAGCAATAAGGAGGACATGATGTAGGCAAAGCTCTGCTGTCCCATACCTGTCAGCACAGATTTAAAAGACCAAAAAAAAAGCATTTGATTCAATTAATAAACAAAATCTTCACAAGCAATATCTGAAATTAGTCTAAAGGTCCCTCACAGCAAAACAAAAAGACCCAAAAAGTAACATTACTCTTCATTCTCACCGTGCTGTAAAGCACCAAACATCTGCTGCCAACACAGCTGTTTGAGTATCAGCCTGAAGTACAGCGTCAACCAAGCAACATTCCTGAGAAGAGGAAATAAAGAAGAGGGGAAGTCAGATAAACCGGAGAAGAGTGGGAAAATTGAAAAAAAAAACAAAAACAAAAAACACGCATAATACTGAGCTATCACAGAAACACGAAAGAATAACAAGCTTTTAATCAAGGGAAATCCTGCAGTGACACACTGCTAATGGTCACCACCACACAACCTAATAATGTATTTTCAGTCTTTAACAGTGATTAATATAAAGATCTTATGATCACATAATGTTTTAGAATAAAAATTAGTTTAAATACGAATCCTTTTATTTGGCAATTTATTCTATTTTACTTTATTTTTATGTATACTGTAAAAGTAGATCTATTGCTGTATATTATTGTTAGTATGTTTAAATATAAATACTTGGCACAATCACCCATTTAGAAATTGTTGTGTATGGTCTGGGGTCAGGTTAGGTTCAAGTGAGGCTTTGTCCTGATTGGATACTTTCTGAAATCTTTCTTCTTGACCAAGCTAATAACGTCCTTGTTGTTTGCGAGTACTGCACCCACAGTTCAAGTAAGTTCTGTTTGTATTAAACATGTTGATATTTTGACAGAAGCAGCTTGTATAAACCGTGGTGCAGGAGGTTGGGAAGCGCATCTTTAACCGGAAGGTCGCCAGTTTGATCCCCGGGCTCTCTGTCCTGGTTGTTGTGTCCTTGGGCAAGATACTTTACCCTACTGGTGTTGGCCAGAGGGGCCGATGGCAGCTGTGGCTACAACTGTAGCTACCTCCACCAGTGTGTGAATGTGAGAGTGAATGAACAGTGGAATTGTACAGCGCTTTGGGTACCTTGAAAAGCGCTATATAAATGCAATCCATTATTATTATAAATAACATATTTCACTCCTTGGCAGAGGCTGGGTTTGATTTATTCCCAGGACTACCGGATGGAGATTAAAATGATACAATCATGGTATCATCTGTCAATTCTAAGGTTCTATATATCAGTGCATAGCAAACATAATTTTGGTCCTTAGAATGTCTTATTACCTGTGGTTTGTTTTGTTCTCTCTCTCACACACACACACACACACACACACACACA